TTTCATTCGAAATGACTTTATTTTAGTTAAAAATGCAGTCAATTTAAAAACAAGATGCAAAAAATAATACAGGTGGTACAGGAATATGGTTAATAATTATGACGTTGATATGCCAATGACTAGAGTTTGATAAACACTGGTGTGGTGTGTTTGGGAAATAGGAAATCATAAGACAAAGTAAAGCATAAAATCAGGAGATAGTCTGTGAAGAAGCTCCTGGGTTAGGCTGAGGAGCTTCATGAAGAGCGTGGAAGGGTAACTGGAGAATGACAGGATAAGCTTGCAAGTTAGAGGGAAACTTCTAACACAACGTAAAGGACTACCCATAGGAGTTGTAGTAAGTAGATCAGTTAAGAGCTGAGAAACGATGAAGGCCTGCCCAATGACAGAAGCAGTGTGACTATGAAGGAAAGGAGGGTTTGTTTTACCTAGTAGTGGCACAGTTGTCACCACTGTCACCAATAAGATATGAAGGGAGGAATCTAGAGGATTGTACAGGCTTTCTTGGCCAGGGAAGGGGATAATTTCTCTTAGATGGATCTTTGCTTGATATTTGAAATAATTTTGACCCTGAGTAGATCCCTAAATCTCAAGAAATCTGTGTTAACTTCACAGGAAAGACCCACTGTCTTTCCCTCACACTCCTATCTAGAGATCTAACTTCACAGACAGAGTAGAAATCAAACTGTGTGGTGGTGTTAGCATCCTTTCCTGTTGTGAGAGAATGTTTGGTCAAGCAAATAATGGAAGAGACGTAACACCCTCTCCCTCTGACTCGACCCTAGATTTTCTAGTAAGCCTACAACAAACCAAGGAGAGGTTCTTCATTTAGTAAAATTGAAATGCTAAGCCTCATAATTTCTGACTAAATTTTTATTCAACATGAGAAGTTGATGGATCTACAATTTCAGATCTTTTGAAACAAAAAGAATCAGTGAAGGGAGGATTCTAAATTGTTTACTAAAGGAAGTATATATTTTGATAAAAAAGAAAGAAAGAAAGAAGAAGAAAAGACTATTCTGAGAGTAGAATGAGTGACCTACTGGAAGAATCTTAGGTGAAAGCTACAAAGTCATCTCGCAATTAGAAGGAACGTGGGTACTGGGAATTGAGAAGTTTAAAACAAGTGGTACTTGCCCATGACGTTTCCTCTCCCCCTTTTCTTCATGGTGGAGAGTCTAGGGTCCAGTGGGAAATAATCTGTTTTGTTAACTTACTTGCTGCTAAATAAAGCTCCTTTCCCCAAAGAAGATGAAAATCAAGCCCTTTGGCTCAATTGTGACAAATTGGCTTCCAGGACTCCAGAAAACTACTGTAGCTTGATTTTCACACGAGGAAGCCCTGCAAGGGTCTCACTTCAAGGGAAAGGCTTAGCATAGGCAAGGATTCACCTAATGGAAGTCACAGAATAAAAAGCAAGTATAGCTTAATGCATGGTGGTGATAAATAATTAACAGGCTACAGAGTTAATATTTAGATTAGATCTTTAAAAACTAAGAAAATGTCGTGTGTGTGTGTGTGTGTATGTATATATATATTAGGGAGTTACAGTTTGGATTATTTAAAAAAATACCTTTTAAATAAAAAAATAGTTAAATAAAAGATAATGTATTAGACTGTCTTGTACTAACAATGCCTTTACCACAAGATTAGTAGAAGGGATTATGAGAATAAATCATTCACTACCCTTGATATAGGATGAAATTTTAAGGAATGATTCAAAAAATTTTAATCCACAAATCATTCATTTCTTCATACCCAGGATGAGATCAGAACCCTTCTTTATGTATGGCAAAATCTGAAGAATTATTGGATAGATGATGGCAGTTGGTAAAAAGTCTTTATAAACAATGCAGTTGCTAACATTTAGGAATTAATCCAAAACCTAACTCTATTTTGTCACTCTGCTGATCTTTGCCTGGATTACAGTATTTTGCTTTGTTCTTTTTTTTAATTTAAAGAAATAAAATATATTTGAACATTTTGGATACCAACTAAGGCAAACAGGTATGCACAGATTAGTTAAGGATCATTTTTTTTGTATACAAATATTTGCAATAAAGTTTGGAGGTGATATTTTGAAATTTGTGTAAAGAAGCATTTGTCTTTCAATCTGTGATATTATAATGAAAACTGAAGTAATGTCATTAAAAATTACAGAGTTGATATGACACAGTATGGTTTTATAAGAAGAAACTTGCAAAATACATGAAGAATTTATTTAAAATACAACTTTAAAATGCATATCAACAGTTATTAATAAAAAATAACTCACTTACTGGCATTAACTTGGAGGAATGCTAAGATAGTTGATCAGTAGTGCAGTGCAGAATGTGTTGTTTTAGAACTAAGAAATTAAGGTTCCCAAACTTAAGAACCTGGATTGGAAGGAGTCTTGTAATAACCAGGATTTCTGTGTTAGAGATCAGAAAGTCAGCCTGGAGGAGGAAATTGTCCAAGTTCATAGTGTGCTGCACATAAAGCCCCTCCTCTTCTCCCTGCAGGATATGACCTACATATTGAAATTGTGAATTCATTCCCTGGCTACAAATTTCCTTCGAAAGCTACAGTCAGAGAGCTCAGGCTCTTTCAGATTAACTTGGTTTTGGATACACCTTGTAGTATACACATAAGAAAGGGTTTCAATGAAAGACTTGTTTGTGCTTGGGTCAGGGAGATGGGTGGAGTACAACAGGTAGAAATAGTTGCAGTCAGAAAACCTTGTTACAGGTACCATCTTTGCAATTCACTGGTTGCAGAGCTCCAAGGAAAGATTTCTAACCTTCCTTCCTGAACTTTAATTTTCTTCATCATTTCTTATAACTGCATCTCATGAGGTGAAGAAAATAGGAGATAGTTTGTTTAATCCACAGGATATTTCCAAATATTGTTTATATTTAATAGTTAATTTTACCTGCGTATGAGCAAACTATACATAAGCTATCAGAGATGTTCACATTTATCCTCACGAGCAAACAATGGGGTGACAAGAAATGTCTTTTGCTCCTTCAAATTCTGTCTCAATGAGTGCATTTGATGGGGAAGAGCTAGACAAAGGTCCTGGTTAGAATTGTTACCCTTTTTCTGTCTCTCCTTCAGGAATTAGTGGCCTCCCTCTCTTGGTCTGGTTTTTAAAGAATGGGGTAGATCATGATAAATAACAAAAATCCTTTACCTCTCCTTTGGTGGGTGAGATTTTTGAGCTTGCTGAAATTCAAAGCCACCAGCTGACCAGAAATGTCCAACAGTTGCACTCCTGGATGTCAGCAGGAGCCCAAAGGAAACTTCAGTATTGGGTTGGACTACTTTGTCCAAAGCAACCTGTTGTTTAGATTAGGAATATTTCCTCTTCCCGTAGCAGTGGGATGGTCTGTCTTTCCTAAATCAAATGCATTTCTATTCCCCATCAAGTTAAGCTTTTGGAGTAATAGCTCTCATAATTTTATTTTAGTTCATCTGTTTCAGAGAGGGCAAGCCAGAGAGATTGCAAAGTGGTTCACATGAGATCATCAAAATTTCCACTCCTTCCAAGCATCCTAAATCTCTAGATTTCAGAAATGCCTTATTTAACCCAGCTCCCTGACAACAAAAGTGCTTTTGTCATTCGTCATCAGAACAGAGAACAAAGAATGATGGGGAAGAATATTAGATTGGAAAGGCAGAATGCTTGCTAGTTTGTAGAGCTGGCTTTGGTGTGACATTCAAGAGTCTACATGGTTGAAGTGAATGGAGAATTGCTATTAACTATCCAGATTTTAAAATTGGCTCTCTGTGAATATTCATTCTCTCCATCCTACCCTTCAGCTTCTGCCTCAAATATCAACATATCATAGGTACCTGACTTTAACCTAAATTAAGATTGTGGTTTTTTGAGCTTTCAATCTCGGGAATTAAAGCCTCAGCATAAACTTGAAAGTACAAAGTTGTCTCAGTGTTTTAAGTTTTAAATATTCTGTGCACTCCTTGGTTTGCTGAGTGGCTGGCTGGCTGGATAGAAAACCTGAAAAGATATAGCAGCTTTAGCATATTGTGTGTTTGTGTGTAAACCAAAGTTGACACAAATATGAGGATTCTAAATAGATCTGAAAATTCAGTAATATAAATAGTAAAAACTAACACAGTCAAAGGCCGTAATTTGAATATCCTAGACATCCAGACTTTTAGCAATGACACCCTAGTGGAGCTATTACTAGGTAATAGGAATCCTGTGCACAGATGGAGGTGGACTTTAATGGGAAACCTCAGCATAATCTTAAACCCCAAAAGAGGCTACTGTGTACCCCCAAAGAATTGCTGACCTTTATCCCATATACTTCAGAAGCCCTTATTCTCTCTGGAATAATGAGTAAAATGTTTGAAATATATAATAGGTAATTTCCATGCAAATATCTATTGTTAAAATATGGCTTTTGGTTAGGCTAAATTCTATAAACATAATATCCTCGCTTCTATGACTAAGTGTTATAATGTGGGAATTTTCTCATGCGTGGGCCCCTCCCTGAGAAGTAAGATGGGCATGTAGTTTGACTTATTGATAGAATGAGGGGAAAGAAGCCTTCTTATCCCTTAAAACTGCCTAAAAGAAAATTGTTTGCTATAACTTGACAAGGCCAGGTTCTGACTGGCCGCCTTTTAGGTAATAGGGACCATTCAGACTGCTGGGATCCTGGTAAGTTCTTCCTTTCATGGCTGCATAAGACTGTCATTGTGACATTCTCAGGAGTCACTGGGACCCATGCAACCATATCCTAACTGTCTTCTCTGATGATGGTGTTCTGGACGGGGGAGGAGGCATTGTATTGCTTGGCTGTGGCCCCTTCAGTGGGACTACAGCGGTAAGCAGAGTCAATAGGCCGGAGATGTCAAGATAGGCAGGGTGACAAAAGCAACAGACAGACAGGATGATCATGGGGTCCGACATTCCTAAATGAGCACAGCTGTCACAGTAGGATGACAGGAGCTGGTCTCACAGACTGAGACATTAGTCTGCTGAGCAACACTCCCAGGTCTCCACAGAGTAGCATTTTTATTGCAGTATGTCTTTCATGGAAAATGAACAAAACTTTAAATAAATCACAATTACTTATTGCTTAGTATTTTGGATAATAAATTCTTTAGTTTATCAGTACCTCACGGCCTTCAATGTGCATTCTTCAAATAATTTCAATTACATATACATTCTTTCTCCTCAACAATAAATTATTTTTAAAAAAAGGAAAAGGAAAAGATACATAATCTTAAAGCAAAGAAAACAAACAAAAAAACCCCATATTTTTGACATTTATCTTCAACTTATATGAAAACAACTCTATGTTAGATGCTTAAATATAAATAATAAAGAACATTATGTTATTTACAATGTTACAGTCTAAGTTGAGAGAGTAGCAAACTGACATTAACTCATAAAGACAGTAAATGATTTCGGAAAACATCCAAGTAATGTACATTGTGTATTTACAAAAGAATATATAATAGAACTTGTGATATGTGGCCATTTCCTTTTGTCTGCATTTCTCTGCAGTGCTTAATGGGCCTTTGTGGATAGAAATCTTTGTGGCTGGTGGAATGCAGCCAGTTCTAAAAGATAAGAGCAGGCCTTCTGTATGTTCACCAGTGTGAGCCACGCACCTTTCAACCTCAGGCCAAAGAAAGAAATAGTTACTGAGCAAGTTACCCTGGATAAATTCCACCTGTGTCGACAGTCACACTTAAACAAGGAAGATATGGCATCTTGGTGTTTGGGACACATTCACATACACTCAGGCAGAGTGCCATCTTGTAAAGCACAAGGCTGTGCAGGCACTCTTGAAAAAAGCATCAGACCAGCAAGAAAGGAGCATAGGACAGAAAAGGAATCCTGGGTGAGAAAAAGGAGTTTGCATAAATTATGCTGCATTACATATCCCTCACCGAGATATGATTTCTGACCTAGAAAATGAAGTTGCTGCTTAATTTCTGGGCAATTTCCACTACCAGAAAACCCACAAACACATGCCACATACACTGAGAAAATAGGGTCACGCTCCTTCTTTGGATGGCCACCAAACTGCTTGAGTCTATAATGCAGGGATGATTGAGAGCCATGTAGCAATTAAGCATCACAAAAGTGTCCCTGCTTACACAAAGGTGGTGGCTTCAGCTGGTAATCAATCAAGAGAAGCTCTTGTTCCACAGATGGAGATTATGCCAACTAATTTGCCACCTTTGCATGTGACCAGAAGCAAGTTGTCATAAAGTTTCATATATATATATATGAAATATATATATTTCATATATATATATTTCATATATATATATATATATTTGCAACTAGAAAATTTACAGCAATTTTCATACTGAGAAAAATGTTCCTTGCTTTTAACAGAAAATTTTATTGATTCTGGAAGTTCTCCAGAATGGAGAATGGAGAATTGGAATATTCCAATGCCTGAAGAATTTGAAACAGGCATTTTAGAAATTTAACTAGTGGTAGAAATGTCACTTTGGAAACAATCTATGAATGAGTCAAGACTTTCAAAGGCAATATTAGAATGATTTAGAGAACCCCTGGGTTGACTTCTTCCTCCTGTTATGAGTTTACTCATTTGTACAGAATTAGGAAATCAGTGCAACTTGTGTGCCCTGGTAGAGGTACTTCAGTGTGTGTTAAAAACCAAAGGAGGACACTGTTGGGCACAGAAAAAGTGGTAGATGAACAATGAAGGCAGTTTGGGATTCTGTAACTACCAGGACCTGCACATAGGCATCTCTGTGGATTATAGAAACAAGCAGGGGATTATTGACAAAACTCATGCCCAGCCTCCTATTCTTATAAGACCTACTTGCATGTCATTTTAATTCTAGCATGGAAATTTGGTGACTAGGAATAGATTGAGTTCACCTGAAACAAGTAGTTACTCCCATTGACTTTATGGCCAGTATTTGGAACCTTCCTGCTGTTTTCCTTTTGTCCCATGGCTTTTTGGAGGCCAACTGGAAGCTATATAGAGCTCCAGCCTGATTTGACAGACAGCAGGCAATGGGTCCTGCATTTGTAAAAGGTTAACTTTTTTCCTGAATTAGCAGTTATTTCAAATGTTATCTGTAGGCCTTTTTTGGACTTGCAATCACAAAGAACATGCAAAGTTTAGACCAATCTAAGTTTGTTTGGGGACAATAAAGCAAAAAAAAAAAAAAAAAAAGGAAAACTGAAAGGAAATGGGTCATACAGGCTGCAACTGAGAGGTCCATACACAGGTGAGGGTCACTTCTGCAAGTAAAGGTGCAACCTTTCCAATAGTATTGACATTTCCTGATGGATCATCACCTATGGAAAGTCCTTACTAATCACAAATCACATGCACATTGGCCATTCCTGACAAAAATGTTCATGCATCATTATGACCTAGTCAAGGCAGCATTGAAAAATGAGAGAAGATAGTGAGAAATAAAAGAGTTGACAAAAAAATTGCAACCAAGTTACACTACTACTCTCGACTTGTGTCTTCCGTGTGTTCACTCCTAGACACTCTATGATGAAAACAGTTCCCTATAACATCAAGTAACCACTATGATCTACAATAGGCACATATCACTCTGGAAGTTTTTCAGACAAATTGCAGAGTACGCTGTGTAAGGTGGACATTTTGCGCCACACATTTCCCTTCTTGAACTAAGAAGACACAACAATCACTAGTCCCGTGAAAAATACAAGTCAGGAATGATTGCACCTTTTCCAGCCACAGTTTGATCATCAACTAAATGAGCTGCTTTATCACTTCTCCCAGAGAGAGTGAGATTGAGTCCTATTATAAGGTGTTCAATTTACTCTGATAGCAAGCTTGAACCCCTTGTCTATGCTATTTCCAAAACTGTTGCTTTTGACAAAAAAAAAAAATCAATAATGGTAGCTCCTTTTAATGACAGCAAGCTGTCTTCTGATTAATAATATAGGTTTTAAAAATCACAGTATTACTTTCTTCCTAATATTTAACATTACTTAATGCAGTTTCCTGCTGTAATTAATAGTAGCATGCTGTTGAATCTACTATTATCTCAGAGCCCAATGAAGCGAACCTTGGCTGGCAGAGTAGACACAACTCATTTCATATACTGAAAGCAAAAGAGAAGTTCATACAAAAGAGAAGACTATTTGGATGGATGTGCCATTACAAGACATATTGATTGGGCGCTACTAGAAGCAAACAGAGGGACAGTTGCAAGTCTTGCAAATCATACATCCAGTCGACATCATAATGCAATGCACAAGAAGCCAGCAAAAACTGAATATATGGGAGAGTTTGCTGAAATACTGTGGAAACGCAATCACGGTAACTGTACAAAACTTGCTCTTGACATAACATAACATAAAGGCACCATTGATATCTTTCTCATTTTGAAATACTGTAAAAAATTGCTACATATGGCACATAACACATTTTTACATACATATATTTAATTTATAAAAGTTTTTTTTCCTGTTTTCTATTTGCAGAACTGCTAAAATAAAATAAATTGTTTAATTTAAGGTGGAATACTTTATTATATAAAATAAAGTTTTACGGGTGAATCTATGTGTTTATTTAGGTTTTATACAGCAATAGGGTCTTGGTTAGCAATTACACTAGACAGCCTGGCCTGCATTTCTTCTTGTGTAGAGAAGCGGCCTGCTGGGTTAGTCCTGCTATCAGCCAGGCGGAAGGCAGGGCCTGCCTCGAGACTGGCTGCCAGTGGGTTCTGTATGCCCAGGAAAGGCGTATCTTCACCTACTCTTTCATCTTCTGTTTCACTCTCTGAGTTACTGCTCTCAGCACTTGTATTGCTGTCCATTTCCAACCTGTTGGCAATGTGGCCACTGGGTTTGGTTCTTTTGGCCCGCCGGCTATTGGCGAGTTTCTTAACAGGCTCTTGAGCTGGCTCGTACTCCTGGGTGGTTTCATACTCCTCATCCTCCGCTATCCTCAAGGGGCTAGAGGGAAGGCTGTTGCTCTCATGTGCAGGGTAGTGGTGGAAGGAGTTGAATTGCTGAGAGTGGTTGTCATACTTCTCCCGCAGCCTTGGTGGTGTCACGAGAAGCAGAGGTCTCTCTTCTTCCACGAAGGGGCTGACTGCCATGGAGGGCACAGATACCGTCGTGCTGGACACAGGTGGAGACATTTCCGAAGGGGGCGATTTGGGGGAGCTTGGCGTGTGGAAATCTACAGGTGACATACGAGCCGGGGTGGTCATGGCTGACACATACCTGTGTGAGCACAGAATACCCCACATAAGTGTGGTGGAAGAAGAGACATATTGCAGGGAGGGAAGGGAACACAGGTCATGATATTATGTAATCAGAGAACAAAGAATTTCAAGTCATTGTGTACTTTTGATTATTATACTTGGACAATACCCTTGGTTTCTAAAATTATATAGCCAAGAGTTTTCTCACAGGAACACATGCAAGGATCAACTACATTGCCTCGCTCATCAAAGCTTTGGGAATTTTCAAGCTCATCAGGATTTTAAATAAAAGCATGTGAGTCAGGACAAGAGGGCATGAGTTCCTGGACACCTATCAGTATAAGGATTGAGGCTCAGGGATTTGGAAGGGAAAGAAGTATTTCTTAAATACTATACCTTCCTAAATGCCAAGGGGTCTTAGAGAATGAAGCCCAAATGGGGAATGGAAGAAGATCTAAGATGAGTTGCTGATAGCTGGATCTGCATGCATTTGGATCTGTGTGCCTTGTTTCTCCTTAGCTCAGCTATAAGATTATGTCTCGTGAAAAAAAAAGAGCATAGTAACTTAGATTTATTCCTGATAACAGTGTAATACATTTGAGTGCTTTTCATTTTTCCATGAAATGCTACTTAACACTCAATTTGCAACTATCCATCCCAGTGACCAAGGCATTCAAAGGCAAACCTGAGAGAATCCTATATTGGCTTCATAGTTCTCTTCAATCTCTGGTCTACTTCTCTACCCAACCCAGGTCTACACCAGTCTTTGGCTTATCTTTTGTGACTGTTCAAGAGCTGATTGTACCATGCTATCTTATTTCATGATATGCCTGCTACTCTACTGTTTGGTGAATCTGATACATTGAATGGTGAATCTGATAACATTGAATACATTGCTTTTACCATATTAGACATCTTCCAGAATAAGATCTGACTAGGCACTGAGGAAGATGTGGTTTATTCAGAGTCACATTTCTCAGCTTTTGATAAAAATGTTACCGATGCATAGCACTAAATGACTCTTTTCTTCACATTGACATTCACAGAGACTAATTTGGCATGACCTGTGATAACACAGGACACCAGCCTCTGAACTCTACCTAACAGGAACAGGATATCTATTAACTCTCCTGCTTTTTCAGACATGATTCAGACTCATATGGATGTGAGATCCAGCTGTGTCTAAAATGGGAATGTGTCTAGAGATTGAAATATTTGGGGCTGGAGTCTTCAGAAGTTTTTCTTTGGGGATACTTAAACTCATTGAGAAGTGTTAATCAACACATAAGAGTGATTCATCTTATGTGATGAATCATGATCTCTCCATGATCTCTGGACTCAAGTACATTATGCAGCCTTAGACAATATCTGGCACATGCCAGGAAGCTTATGATCACAGGGAAATGCCAACCTTTAAAGACAGACATCACATGTAATAATGAAGAAGAACTAATCCCTAGTCTCCTTTTCAGGTTTCAAAATGATTGAATTAGGATAGATAGTTTTTGTTAATACATAAAGATATAATCAAATGAGTTTAGGACTACTGTTTTAAGACAGCTTTGGACCATGTCTAATTTTTGACAGATAAATTACAGAACAACCTGTAATACCATTTTTGGAAAATGCCCTTGAAGAATTGATCAGCAGGCTCTATATCACACGTAAGTACAGAAATGCCATCCTTTTTTGTAAGTATTTCCTGGTCCAGGAGGGGGAAAAGCCTATCAAAATCATCTCTACCCACATAACTACCAAATAAGCATGGTGGATATTGTATAAACGTTTTAACCAGTGGTCAAAGATTAGACTCAGATGACAATAAACAAATAAACAACCAAACAAAACCCTACTGGATTTGAGAACAAACAAGTAACAGCTTACTGATGCATTAGAAATGGTTGATGGGTATAACTCTCCCAGTTCAAGTGAAACGGATAAAGAGCATCTCTGAATTTAGTATTCCTATTAAACATCTTTTTGAGTTTACTTTCCTCAGGTTTTTATTTTACCTTTGCTGTAATTCCCCAAACCCAATCCAATATTCCCAGAATAAAGCCAAAATATTCTATAATAAAGGGCAATATAAATGGCAATATCTGCTTTGAAAACCACCTGTGGAGACTGCAGACGCAGCATGTGAGAGATTTGTTTCTTTATCCTTTCTTGGAATTTCATGAGAGGGACACTATATGGTGGAACAAGCAGTTGTTCCCCATGACAGTCAGCAGTGAGATAGCCCTTGATTTGATTTAACTGAGGCTGGAAGGGAAGAAAGAGTTAACACATGTGAACACAAGGCTGGCAAGACCGGTGTTTGGGTAACTGGCAAATTGGAATTTATAGAAGGGTCCTTATTAAACATTGACGCCATCTCTCTAAAGTTACAACTGAGGTAACTGAGACCCAGAGAGGGTCAGAGCCTAAGGTCAGAGCTAGGAACTCCAAGTTTGCTGCACCTTCCACATCAAATCTTTCCAGCTCTTTTAAGAGTCTGTGGCCTGTCAGCCACTGGGACGACGCAAGAAGCTCAGAAGAAATGAGTTCAGTCACACAAAAAGATGACTCCATCAACTAGGAACATTCCTAGAACACGCAACTGCTGCCCCTTATTCTCATTAGAGTAGATTTCCTTAGGCAAGACCGCAGGTGCTCACGGGGATTCTCTTACTGGGGTTCTTTCTCCTCTGCAGTAGCTTTGCCCTTCGGTTTTACCTTTCACTATGAGGAGAGTCTCGATAGGAGTCAGGGGTTTCTCTGGCATGCCTGAGGAAGCTGTTACATTCACGAGGGCCTCCCATGCCATTAAGACGTCCTCGTGGGCCCGCAGTTGGGCTGCTGTGCCTACTGTTTTCTACGGATGACATCATGATTACAGAATGACTTTCTGAGAGGATGCTTTCAGTGTGTCCATTGCTCCAGCTAGAGGGGAAATGTAAGAGGCAAAGATATACTTTATTTACAAAAATGGAAAGGAAAAGAGGTGGTTAGACAGTTCTAACGAGTTATATTATCAGTAGTTCACCATGACTTATCTCAGAAGAGAACTTCTATAGATATTTACTACAGAAAAGACAGAATCTAGATTAACTTTCTAAGGGCACAGTTTATTCATTTGTGCACGAACTGAACATATTTATCAAATGCCACTTTGAACTGAGAGTTCTAGAATCTCTCTATTCTTGTGGGGCTTACGTTAAGGACATATTTACTCTCTGAGATTCATTTGGAAGTCAAGTGTTACCCTTGGTTAATGTGCATTCAGCTATAGCTCTCCAGGAAATCTGAGAACATAGGGTTCAGTATCTTAAATAATTCTCACATGCATTTGCCAGGGCAATCTAATCATTGGAGGAAGTCAATTTCTGAGTATCATATAGCATCTTATATAAAATTCTCTTAGTGTAGAAAAATAGTGAATGGTATACCATAAGGGTAATCTCTGTAGTAGAAAACAAAATTCTGCAAGGAAGGAATTACTTTTCCTTTTGTAATAATGAGAAAATTAAGATGCAAATTAAGGCAATAAAAAAGGTTTAGCCAGTTGATGTTAAAAGTCTGTTTCTGTCTAAATTATATTTTACCTCATTAACTGTGTCTTCTGTCCCATTTTTAGGCCATGATAACAAAAATTTAGGCTATGTACAAAAATTCATTTTGCAGAAATTCCATTTAAATTTAAAAAACTCTCATACCTGTGGCTAGGAGTCTGGGTGACAGTAGTGGAATGATGAGCTGTTGAGGTATAGTGACTAGTGGAAAAAGACGTCTCCGCTTCTCTCTCAACAATATGCTCACTGGAGATGACGTTTTTAGATACGTATTGCTGGATAAACAAAGAAACACAGTTTGAAGATTAATGCAAATAAAAATGCTAACACCAAGCAAAACGTATCTACTCTAATATACAATCTTCATAGTAAATTCAAGTTTTCCATTCACCAAACCCTATCCTTACTACTACAGCTTCTTAAATTAATGAATTAAATTCTTAAATTACTCTTTGGGTATGTACACATGTAGGTCCCACAATCACAACTACATTTAGTAAGAAATAGACTCACTTCTCCTATTTTATTTCTAATCAATGGTGTGATTAGTGTTTAACATCAATAACTTCCCAATATTTACTTTTTCCATGGTTATTACAAGTCAAAGGAAACTAGGGATTAAAAAACTAGCATTAAGATGTTTTTGTTATTTCAAATTTCAAGTCAGTAGCAATTTTTTAAAAATCTGTATATTTTTTGATCTATCATTTTCTTTTAATTTCCCAGTGCCTGTGTTGTCTGGTGACACATTAAAATTTTAGTTCATTGTCAATGGTAAGATGAACAAGGCTATTGAGCTATTTGAATGGTTTAAAGCAGTTGTCAAGTCACAAAACACTTAACATATAATCGCCTTATTATTTTCATTACCAAACCACAGTGGCTAATACTACCTCTGGCAGTGAGAGAGGACCATTCTTAAGTTGTTTTAAATGTGGTTAGTGTTTCTAGGATTTAGTTAAATATAGGAATGGAGAAGAAGAAAGGCCTAAATAAGCCTGATGGTCTAAATGTTCTATCGAACTTTATATATTCTTGGAAACCCCAAAATATACTACTTGAATCGGTTTGAAACTCTAGTTGGTTACTTCTGCTCCTTGGAAGGCAATGTATGTTCAGTGAATCCAATTAAAATAATTATTTAATGATTATTGAGATGCACTAAATGTCACTGGGCTAAGTCTCTGATGTAGTTTATCCTGTTTAATGCTCATAAGAACTTTTTGAAGTAGGTATTACTTTTAGGTTGTCTTTGTAATAAAGAAATAGGCTTTAGAAAGGTTGAAACCCAAAGTCACACATCTTGAACCATACCTGGAATCTAGGTGGTCATTCTGCCTCCTATCTGTTATACATACATAGTGACAGTTATAGGTGTACACTTATGAATTTTGCAGAACATTGGCATGAATACTGGTAGAGGGAGGAAAACAACTAAATATGTTAATGTATTAATACCTTACTGTAACAATATCCTGAAGGTCTTTGCTACAAAACTGCTATTGGTTTAGTGAACACTAGTCTGAATTTAGGACTGTGACATATTGTCACAAAATAGATACATTTTTCTATCAGATAGAGAATGATACCACAGTATAATTTTAACCTATGCTTATATTAAAAAAAAATAAACATTGGAGACAAATGGGGAAAACAGGAAGAATTATGGTGAACTAGAAAGAACAAGACTCCAAAAGTCAGGAAAGTGGAATCCACCTCTGGTTCTTACCTATGCTAAAAGAAGATTTTGAAGAGGCTAAAGACATTACAATCCCCTATCTCCTGTATTTTTGAAGCTGAATAGATAAGACATTTTAAACAAATTATCTGAATGATGAAGACATATTTAATCTGGAGGGTTAACTATCCTTTAGAAATAGCCAGGGAATAAAAAAAATATTATATTCTTGTAGTTTTGTTACCAGAAAGCAAGCTAGATAATTCACACGACCTTTCCAATGCCCTAATTTCTTCCCTTGTAAATCTGAATCAGTAAATCGTCAGATACTGTGAAATGCCTCTAGTAAAAATAACTCTAAAAAACTTAGCTCAGTTTTTGGTATTAATCAATTATAGACTGGAGTAGCCTTCATATTCAAATTATAAAAAAATAAAACATTTCCTTGTGATTCTTGTACCATTAATTTTATTATTTTTCTTCATGTTTTTCTTCCTTTCTTTTCAATTATGACTTTCCTGCAGAACAAAACCAGCATTATTATTTCAACCCCTTAATGAACACTTTATAAGAGGAAATGTGCTGGTTTTACAGTAACCAAATCCACTTTAAAAAATGTTCCCATTATTTTCTCCTGGCAAAACCTTGGATTCCTGTAAGCTGTGGTGATTAATGGCAGCAGTTAAGAGACTAAGAGCTTTAGAAAATAAACTTCAAGGTGCTTAAACAGAAGAGGGATGCTCAGATCTTTCCACTGGCCAGAGTCAACATACATTCACAAGCTGAACGTTCTCTGGGGGTGGATTCGGATGGTGAGGGCCGTTTGCTATGTTCACCATGTTGTTGCGTTCAGACCGAAGACTATGCCGAAGCCGATCATGGAGCTTTTTCCGTTGTTTCCTGGAGATGAGAAAGGAAACATTAATTTGTTTCTATTATTTACTCATCTTAATACAGTCCATTCTTCATTCCACCAACATGTAACCCAAGGTAGTGGACTGCTATTGAAGGAGAGGAAAGGCTTACACTACTCCATCTGGAATCTGCCTTTGGGCAGAAATGGACTCAAACCTTCTCAGCAAGATTTAAAAGCTGATGGAATTGTTACAAAAATTTAACCAGTCTGCTGAAGAATGGAGAAAAAGGAAAAATAAGATCAGTTAAATTGCTATTTGGCTACAAGCTCACTTTCACATCAATCCATCTTGCCCTAAGTTTCACAGGTGGTCATTTGTGTTAGATCATAATTTTTGATGTATTGATAAGGCTAGCTTCCTTTAGAGTTTTGCTTGTGTGTCTCTATTAGAATCTATCCATTTCATGTCATGTGTGTGAATAGTATTATAGATGAATGAAGAAGTATGTATCTTTTGCCAGTAAACTTTGGAACAAATGTAACATAATCCAGTCTAATAATATTTTTGTGCATAACTACAAATGAATGTTGAAATATTAAGATTGAGTCTATGAAGATTCAAAGGTGAATTCCATGAAGGTTTATCTCCATCACTTAATTCTGGCAACATGCTGAATCCTGGGGTATTAAGAAAACAGCAACCAAGCCCTTGCTTGACTGTATGCCATAAAAACAGATTGCGTTTGTTCCTCAGTGTAATGTTCAGCTCATCATCATCTTTCTGTGGTTATATGATTAAGCAAAGCAAAACAAAACAAAACAAAAACAAAAACAAAACACTTAGTTTAACATCATTTTAAACTTGGAGTGGAAGTTATATGTAATAGAGAAAAGTAAAGTAAACTCATGACATACAGAAGTGATATTTGTTAGTATGGATTCAGTTTAAAAGGCTAAACATAGTGAATGATACCTATTTTAATTTTTTTCTATTGCATTCTTTCAAAGCACAGTGTGCTTTATTTTCCTCATGATATTCCTTTCGTTCATCTTACTATGACAGCACTTGAACTAGCTAGTTTGATGGAACTAGAGAATAATCACGGCAATGTTTCGAAAACTTTATTGCAAGTACTACTGTTTCCTTGATCTACTGAATCCCCGTTGGACACTACCTCAGTCATGATGTGACAAAGGTTCCTTGTAGCTGCCACTCTGTCAGGATGTCGTGTGTGGAGGTACTGGGTGAATGCAAACCTCTGCTCCTATACAAGCCTGTCCCTGGTCCCTTTTCCCATCATGGGGTGTGGGCACCTATCAGAAGCCTTCTGAACACTTTCAAACAGTCAAGGCTTTGTAACATATGGGATTAGGAAAAATACTCAAAATGGATTATTCAGAGTAAAGAAAAAGAGGAAAGTTCCCTCTCCCTTAGATTTTTTGCATGACTAAGCGGTGGAGCTTAGTTTTGGCGAAGCCCTTGCCAGCTAAGCCCACTGCAGGCAAAGGAGAGAGGGATGTGGAGGAAGAAAGTTTACTTGGTTTTGCAGTAGGCCACCACACACATGATGCCAACCACCAGCAGGGCGATGCAGATGCCAGTGATGGTCAGCACCCTCTTCTGGTAGAGTTCCTCCGCTTCTGGAAAGGGATGAGAGCAGATGTCACCAAAGGCGGCTTCCAGCTGCCTGGACTTAAACTGCACAGTAAGCATGCGGTATGGCATTGTCCATATTCACAAGAAAATAAATACGTAACAATTCACAACATCTGCAGACATACTTAAGGGACAACATACTCTGTGCTATACTTTGAACATTAATGGCAAAATCTGCTAAGGTCACTGACAATAAAAAATGCACTATCAATTACTTTAATTATAAACGAGATATCTATGCATTAAAATGGCAAATTATAAACATTAATTAATTATAAATATCTATTTGATTATAACTGTAGTTTTTAAATCTCTTGCAAAGACAACAGGAATCAAAGTCAATGAAGGAGCTGGATTGGCAGCGCTCAAGACCCACATTCCAGCCTCCCATTCTCCCCCCTTCATTTTTTCCCAGCTATTTTACATTCCAGTGGTCTTCACAAAAAGCCATTTCTAACTTATAAAAAAATACAAAACTCAAAGACATTTGCAAACATGAGCTTGACTTGTAGTTAGCAACCAAATTGAGGCAGGATCTCTATGACTTAATAATAAAATATGATCATAAGCAACACAACTGAAGTCTCAGGGTACTGTATCAGAGAAAACTCAACTCAAAACTCATCCAAGATGAATATTTGTCCTCTGGAAATCAATTATTATTCAGCCATTGTATTTGGTGATTAAATTTACTGGGTTTCAGAAAAGTCATGGTGCATTTTTGCATAGAAAATTATGTCAAGTCTTTCCCAACAATCCAATGTTTGGTAAGGAAACCCTGAGCACAAATGATGCACAATTTGGACTAGATTATACAGCCCTGCACCGACCAATTTGGCAAAGTGGCTAATGGAGGTAACACTAACAAAGTGTGATTCTTAGAACACTGAACTAAAGCTACTGCTCCAAATGCAACCCGTCTGTTATTCACAGAAGTCTATTTGCGAACTGGGTTTTTTTTTTGGCAGTGGAGGGGGAGGGGGATAGGTTGTTTACTCTATGGTATAATGATATAACGTATGGTTAGGTTCTTAACAAGATTGCCTGATTAAATGGTGAAGGTGTTTCCTTAGAAACCATTTTAATTACACTTACTGGGAGAATTACAAGTTTACCTAGAGCGATTGCTGTATCAGTCAGGGCACAATTAGTGGACTAAGCTGTATTTGTACCCTTGTACAAGTACACAATTAGCGGACTATTCTGATTAATATGGTGGTGAAGAACTACAAATTTCATCCAAATGAAAGTCTCTTATCTGGGCATCGATCATCGATCTGAAGCTGTAAGGAACTTTTTCCAATTCCATTTTCAGTTTCAGCAGCCACACCTTTTTTTTCCCCCTATTGAAAGAGGGTCATTGGCAGGAAGTTTTCTTGAAATGAAAAAGTGCATTTTAATTTCTATGATACAGTAGACCTTATCATTAAACAAAACATTTCCTACAAGCCAAGCCCATGGTAATCAAATTCCAGTTAACAGGTCAAGAACATCGTCAAATTACATTAAAATAGCACTGATTATTAACAGGAGAAGGAGAAGTCAGCGGGTAAAAGATGAGAATGCCGCAGAGATTATACAAAAACAAACCAAAAGGTTGGTAGTGGAAAGGAAAAACAAACCAGGGGAACAGACAGACTGACAGAATGACTGAGAGAGGGAGGAATCAGGTAAAAGGGAAAACAAGGTTAAAAGAGAAGGAGCCATCTGAAGTCCCTGGCACAGCATGCCCGATACTAAGGGAGGAAAAAAATAAAAGAAAACCAGAGGGAAGAATGCTGGGGCAGGAAGAAAAGGTGGATGCAAAGTTGGAAGGGTTATCCCATACAGCATAACGCCTAACCTAGCTGGCGGGTTCGTGGAAGCCACAATTAGAAAGCAAAGCAGCTGGTGTTGCGGTGAAACAGTGTACCAGGAGTGGAGCCGTGTGTCTGTCCGCAGGAATAAAATGAGGGCTGGATGTGACCGCTGGTGTGTTCATTGCATGTGACAGCTTCTTCCCTCCCCCGCCAGCCACAGGACAGGGAGTCACATTTTATTTACAAAGTTATATTAATCTGTGAGCTGATGCCACAGAAGCCTCCTCCTTGTCTTTCGGTGTCAGTGTTTAGCGTGTATGTCTTAGAAACAGAGATGTCAACTCCCTGGCCCTTTTCCAGGAGACCCAGGATGAGGAGCAGGTAGCCTTCAGCTGTGATGAGGGGGTTGAGAAACTGAGTAGAAGTTTTGTTGCCAAGAAAATGAAGACCCTGGTTCACCATGTCCTCTTTTACTTGCCCTGTTTTTCTTTCTTTCAGAAAGTTAGGGTTGGGTAGTACTGTCATCTTATCATTCTATTTTTAGAAAAAATCAGGAAATTGTTTCTGTAAACTACAAAAAACGGTCTGTACCCAGGAACAGATCAGGGAAAGGCATTACACATACTCAGGGATCTTTGGATACTTCTTGGGTTGTTAATTGTAAAAGAATAGATAGTCGTGGGGTTTGAAAAAATAATGGATGGCAGCTCATTCATTCTTTTTCTCTTATGTAGAAAAATACACATTTTCCAGTAAAATCTGTTGTGAAATAAAAAGGAGGCCCAATAAAGGCCAGATGGTAAAGCACCAGGCCCACAAAACCTGGATGTAGGATTTAGGTTCTACATTCACATCAGTATTTGCTGAAGGCATTCAGTTCTTGCCTGAGTCCTCTTTGATCTTCTTGTGTTGATTAGAAAGGGTGATACCCCCACCCCATATGAACTTGTGGAAAGAGAAATACTTGATGAACAGTACTGTAAACAGTGGGTTCTTTTCACCCCTCCCCCTTTCCCTTATTTTTTCCCTCATGTGACAGGGTCAATAGGGCAAGAGCAAATTAGAGGCAGCGCTGAAAAGAAGAAGCTGTCAGGCTATTGGCAGCCCTGCCCTAATGACTTGAAATGCTTCCGAGTCTTTACTCCAAGGTTTGGCTGGATGCATTGAAGTGAATCAGATCAAGCACGTTTTTGTCTCATCTGGCCTGGCTAAGAGACAGAGGGTTTGTCTGTCTCAATTTTAATTGACCTTTAATGTATGATTTTCCTTAAGGAGGGAACGTTCTGGTTTTAGCAAACTGGCTCCCCTGAGAACAAGTGTCTACGAGGTGGGCAGTAAACTGCTGGACTAAACTTTAAGGTCTTACTGAAGGATAAGTCATATATATGTGTGTGTATATATAGATCATATAAGTCACACACATATACCTATCTAGCACTGTTTGGGAACTGAAATATTTGTTTCTACTATTTGTTAGATGCTAAAGTGGGAAAGGTGCTGTTAAAATAAAGGACATGGGGGGACATTTTCCACCTCCCTTCAGGAGAGGCCCATAAAATGTTTCCAGAAGTGGGACAGTTTTTGTCCTGAGGGAACTAACCTGAATAGATAACTGTGCACCCAAGAGACATCAAGGGCTTTTCTCACCTGGGACATGTTCTCTGATATACAGAAGATCATCACATAAATGTGGAGGTTTTCCTAGCTAATGAATAGCTTTCTCCTGGAACTTTAGGGGAGGAGTGAGCTTGCAGCATCTCATTCCCCACAAATTTGTAAAGGGCCCTATGTAGAGACTGTGTTATCACCCCAAAGAAACAGCAGGTGTAGGGGGCTCACAGCATGATGTCACTGACACCAGCTGAATGGGAATGAGATTCAGATAATCGGGACACTGCTTTGTGAAGGCTCTGTCCCCAGGAAGCTTGCTGTGTCAGGAAGCCCCAAGGCCTGGCCTGCATCTATAGCCTCTGGGGATATGGCACGACTTCCCCCTCCTCCATCTCCTCCCAAGCTTGGCCTTTTCTCACAACCACTTAGGATGATGGCCTTTGAGAGGACTATGCCCCAAATTCATATATTTATAGGTAATATTTTGTTTACAGTGTGAAATTTTCCATTTGATTACTTGTCTGGTTAATCTTAGTGACTGGAGTTTAATTCTATTAGAATTTCTACTTAAAATAGCATAAGCTTATTTCTTTCTGCTTTCTGTTTCCTTGCTCATAAGATAATGAAGTTGACTAGAGTAGTGCTTGAGTAGTTCCAGAAAATCATAGTAGTTCAAGTCTTTGCTTATGATATTGTGTTGCAATGTAAGTGCTTTGTGTTGCTACATTAAATAGATGATTTTTACATTGAATGTCAAATTCCTATTAACCTAAGATGTGGTATGTTTGCAAGGTAATGCATTTAAAGCTTCTTTGTTCTCAGGTCCCTGGCTTGGTTTCTCTGCAGACACTCCAACTTATCCCAGCTCTGAAATAACAGCATCACTAGATCCAACAAATGGGTCAAGGAATGTGGGATTTATGTGAATTTGCAGCAGGTGAAATGACTAAACTCTAAGTGAAGCTTGGAATGCTGCTGCACTCAGTAACATTTCAAACTAATCATAGATTGAAAGCAGAGAAATCATTGTTATGGCTGTATGATCCCTTCTAAAGAAAAAGGAAATTAGTCAGGAATTGAAAGGTAAGCGTAGGAAGGGAAAAAGATTTCAGCTCAGAGACTCTAAATTCTGCAGGCTAAAAGGAATGATGATTGGTCCATACCCATAAATTCAATCCCAAGATGCTCTGCCAATGCAGAAAGTTGACAAAAAAAGAAAGAAAGGGAAAAAGTTTCAGAAAAGAGTAATACACTGCACTCCAAAACACATTACACATGATTATTATGGCTCTCTGTGCGTGCACACTGAACAGGGCAAATGGTGGGTGGTTAAGGAAGCAGTGCTCAGGTACGCCTCCTTGAGGCCACACAGGGAATTTCTCTTTTAAAGAGGTGTGCAAATACCAGCACACTGTCTTTAGTAACCCTTAAAAACCTTACTGAGGGAGAAGTTGTGTAGCTAAACTGTCCTCTCCATTACATTATTTGGAAACTTAGTTTGACAAACAGAAAAGGCACAGTATTATTTCATTCCCCACTTTTTTAAAGTAAAATTCCAGGGAGGGAAACTTTTTTTTACCCAAAGGCACACAAACGGTGACAGAGCCAGGAACAAAAGCCAAGAAGATAGTAATGTGGTCTGATAATTTTATGATGTTGGATTTACATTTCTCATCACTGGTTGCTAGCCATGTTCTAATACTTCCTTTTGCTTTGGTTATTATTATTATTTTTTTAAAGGTATTTCTCTTCTCCTAACCTCCCACATTCTCCACCACTTGCACTGCATATTTCATACACAGAGAGCAACATTTCTGTCCAAAAAGCCAGACAGGATATTGAGGTACTGCAGCCTCCTTTCAGATTTGTTCATAGAATTTCTATGTGGCACAAAATAAATCTTAAAGTCATACCGTCTCAAATTTGAAAAAAAAAAAAATAGGAGGGAGAATATAATTCCTGGGGTTTTAGTAAATTTTATTACTCTCACACTAGAACCAACTTTCTGATCAGCCCATGAGGTGGAGGCTAAAGCCCAGGTGAGCACTCATTGCACAGGTTCTCAGAGGATCTGCAAGGCTGCCCAAAGGAGGGGACCGAAGGTGTGAGCCCACACCTGGGAGAGCTGATGGTGGAGGCACCAAGATGCAGGATTGGAAGAACCCTCACAAGCTCAAATGAGGAAATGGGAAACAAGCCAAAGAAGAAAATGACACTTGGCTTTCTTACAACAAAAATCATTAATCATGTTTCATCATGAGCACTCTTCATAAATTCGCTATATATGTGTGGTGGAGACATGGGTGGGATGAAACAGATAAAACTCTGAAAGCAAAGGTTCAGAGGCCTGTACTTCTTCCTTTAATCACTGATTAGGGAGACTCAAGGGCAGTTGAAAAATACAGCAGGGCCTCTCTTAAGCTTCAGAACATAGAGGTGTGTCTCTTTTACTATAACATCAATGTAGGCCAAAGAGCGGGGCAAGTAGGACTTAAGTGTGCAGGAGTCGTCCTGGCTTCAGTTCCTGCCTCTGTCATTCACCTGTTTAGTGACTTTGGACAAGTTTGTCATTAACAAATGTCTATGATGCTAACGCTTGCCTTGTGGGTGATGCTGTGGCATAAGAGAGGCATGAAATTAGTGAGCCGACAGCAGAAGGTTTGACCAGCTTGGAGAACAGACATATCTGGAGATTTACCTTGGACCACTTACTGCATGTAGGTTTACTTTGACTAATTTCATGGCCAGGAAACTCTGAAAGTTCCTGGGGTAGATCCAATCATTTAGACTTTAAACTCTTGCCACCTCTTAAGGAAATGAGGCTTTCCAGATTAAAGAAAAAAAAAAAAGATGAAATACATTAATCATATCATGAGAAGCACTCTAATAGAAAGTTCTCTCTGCCTGGAGTCCAAAGTCCTCAGGCAAATAATCTGAGATTTTCATTAATTCAAAGACAGAGGATTTAGGGTTAATTTTGGTTGCATAATATTCACAGCAAAATAAGTTTATTCAAATTTACACAAATTTCTCTTGCCTCTGTGCAACACTCAATTTGACAAATTGACTTTTTTTTTTTTACCATTCATTTCTTTCATATGAACTTTGGCACATTAAGGTGTAAAAACTCATTTTCCAATGGTGATAATAAATTTCCTTACACATTTCCATAAGACTGTGACTTAATATTTCTCCCTAGTACCCCCTCCTCCGCTCATCTTTTCCTCCTACCAATCAGTAATAATTTAAGGGTTAACATCAGGAGGAACTGCAGAAAGTCTTTCCAGAGAATCATTATTCCATGCCTACGTGAACACTGCTAATGATCTATATTAGTTGCGTAGAAAGCTTGGTTAGGTCTTCAATAAAATTAGTAGCATGCCCATGCATACATATTACTGCATTTACAGTTTTATAGGTAAGTCTGTGAGCCTAACTATTATTTCATTTCATGGGAAGTCATTCATATCAGGCAGCTCCAATTTCAAATAATTCAAAGGGAAATTGGTACTTAAAATTGGAATCTCTTCTGGCCATGAGCCCTAACAAGGAAACAAGCAGAGGAAACATGCATCAGTCATTCTAGACTTGCAGAAATACTGCTCTAATTTATTTTTACTATTGGTGGCTACATGTCTTCCATTGTGAGTCAAGAAAAGCAGAATACACAAACACTTTTCACTGTATGCAGAGGTTATTACTTTCTATCTGTTCTATTTAATCTAATGTTGGCTTAGGCTCATTATGTATCATATGCTTCCTATTGAACTTCAGCCTAGATACCACATTTTTCAAATTAAATTAATAATTCAAAAATACAAAGGTTACTGTAAACAATCTAGTTTTCTTTTCTGCATGTGATTTCCTGCTGTGCAGTAAGCAATATAAAACATTAATTTAAATCAAGATGCTTCAGAAACTATTAAATATTGATTCACTCTGCTTTCTAATTTTATAATTGTTTGAAGAAAACTGATTAACCTGCAGGTTAATTTAAATTTTCAATTAGAGAAAAGAAAAATAAAACAACTTTCTTTTACCAAAGTGATGCACATGCAATTATGATTTCTGTTAAAATTTGAAGGCAATTAGGATTTACTCTTTAACATCTTGGACCTCCTTATGCAAATAATCTGAAAGACATATGCATATTCTTGCTTTCTGCACTTATGAGGTTTCTGAAGTACTTCAGTCAATGCCAGTTCTAAATGGGGCCATTTCAGTGTTTGATTTTAATTTTTGACTTACCTTTACAAATGGAGGGTTTTTTTTCCCTTCACACATATGCATCCATATTGCCACTGAGCCCTTGGGAATGTAATAGAAGTCTTTTCCCTGGCTCCCAAGTTTTCACGTGCACTAAGCACACTCAAACACACACAGTAAAATTTCACTAACATACAGTTTGGATTTACAGTTTTGTCATAGATTAAATATGCTTTTATTCTACTCTTGGAAAAATGCCTGTCTTGATAAATATATTAATAATTTCAACAGCATTTAGAATCTTCACAAATGATTTTTCACTACTAACCTATGATTCAAATCAGTAGTTTTGAATACTTGAGTATTTAGGGATATCTTCTAGTAGGTTTATTCATTTTCAAATGTGTTCTATATGTCTCACAATATTCCATAATTTGTGCTATTCTACGATTACTTCTTATCGTATGTTAGTACCTATGTTATACTTGCTTCATACTGCCTCTAACTACTGGACCTGTATCTTCATTTTTTTCTCCCTATAAAGTTTATAAATTAACAGATCATTATGGATTGCCTGTACACATATCTATACACAAACACATACACACACACATGCACAAGCATAATGCTTTCAAATAGGAATTCTGTCAATAGGTCAAATTTGAAGCTGACTAATCTTGACAGTATTTTCCTAGAAAGTTATAGAAAATGTTTTATTTCAAGGCAAATAATAATATCAATAATATCTTGCCTGCAAGATATTATATGAAATGTATATTTGTTCCTTTCATATTTTAAAAGGATTATAAATATATATAAGTATATATATCACATAAATGATATATACATATATCTTTTATGAATCAATAAGTGCCCCATGGACACTGAATCTAAAATTACATCAGAAGCTAATAATGTAAATTATGTGTTAATAAGCATCTTAAAATTATATATTCTCTTAGAATGTTATTCTTCAGCTGAAAATGTGGTTTGGTAAGTTAATTGCCCACTTTTCTTTGAAGCTGGGGAATATCTTTTCCTTTAACATTTGCTTTACAGGTTCATGAATAAACAATTACATTTTAATATTGCCACTGTGGTGACTTTTGCCACCTTCTTAACTACTGAACAAAAAGTTCTTAGAGGCCCCAAAATATATTTTCCTACTTTCTATGTGAGGAGAATTTAAGACACAGAAATTAGAAAATTAACTCTGGGTAGGACAACTTTGTAAATAGTTTCTAATAATTAAGTTCTTGCTTTTTCAGACATGAAGCAGCACAGTCATTATGAATTGTGTTTATAAGTGCACTTCCTATTATCTTTGTTATATCATGTTAGATATGAATGCTGCTTTCTTGGATGTCTTCTAAAAGTGCTATTGTGTACTTATTAAGGTGAGTCAAGACTCATACTTTGATTAAATAGATATTGGCTAATTTAAATGATATGTTGTGAAAGTGAATGGTCTAACAGAGAAGTTGAGAATATTTTCTCTGGTTACTGCTGTCAAATCTATAATACTTTACTGTTTTGGGAAATAGCTATAGGTCTACATGAATTTATTAATATAGTGTCCCAACAGTGTGTAAAGCACAATTAAACTCTAAAACACTAAACATTTAAGTAGGATATGAATGTTCAAAATTTTCATTAAATTTTAAAGCATAATTTTCTTGCCAGTTTGGCTAAACCTAGTTTTATTTAAATACACACATTTCTAAAAGGAATCACTTTAATATATTGAGTAATATCCTATTATTTTTCTCCTGGTTTTATTCCACATCATCTACCTTTAGCAAAGTAACCATAGCTATGAAAAATTCTGTACAATATATGCATATTATTTAAAGATTTGTTAATAAAAACTGTATTTGAAAATGAAATCTGGAAATTTATTATTTTCACAATAAATTGATCTAGAACATAATTTTTGATGTGCAGCTTTTGTAAAAACATAAAATTACTACCTCACTAAATCAGTGATGAATATTATGGATTGAACCTCCACATAATCATATGGATTTTATTTTTCATGGTATTTATTTTCTATGACTATTCAAAGGAGGGAAAAAAAATCTTACATACATCTGAATAAATATCAATCTTTTACTTAGGGTGCCAATGCCTCATATGTATAATAAATTCTGTGTTTTGCAAATTTACACTGTAATGAGCTATGTGAAATAATTTTTCTAGTTGGGCAGTTGACAGTCCTCACTGCCTGCTTTTGTAAATAGTTTTCAAAGCACACCACCGTGCACATCGGTTTCTATAGAGTTGGTGGCTGCTCTCATGCTACAATGGAAGAATCAAGTAGTTGTGATGATGAAGGTATTTTTCCCCATCTAATTATTAAAAAAAAATTCCAACCTTTGATACAAATGGATAACTACATGGAATTCAGTTAAAACAATGCTTTGAAAGCTCCCAAATCAAAAGCTATATTCCACTTCATAATAGAAGGAAATATGTAGTTTAGTTATCCATACAATTAGATTTAATGATGCACAAACACTCATAAAGCCAGAGAAACTAATTATCCCATTTCTGCATTTAAGAACATGTGTGTAAATAATACACATATATACACACATAAATAAATGTGTGTATACATGTGTGTATATATAATAGTTAACTCATATTACAAAGTAAATGATTTAAAAAAAACAACTAAAATTATTGAAATGAGCATAAAGAAATGCTAACATGTTTAAATGTTTGTTTAAACTAGTCCAGAATCATTTGTTTCCTAAACCAGCATATCTCATTTGCTGTGATGTTTGTCTTAAATTTCCCTATTCAGTGCCATTTTTTACACCTAAATGCAAACTGTTTGGTTAATGAAAAGAAACATCTGAGCTCTTTTTATTATGTTTATTTGTTATAAATACCACATTCTCAACCAAAATGAACTTACCATCACTTCAAGTGTGTACTCGTTACAACTTAGCAACATCGTTTTCAGAAGGTTGCCATTTATAAAGAAGATGGACTGTTCCGTGGAAGGATTTTATTTTATCAATAAAAGTGAGACTTTTAAATGCCTTTATTATAATTGCACTGCTTGATATTGACTATCATTTTGTATCACATATTCATTATCCATTCCAGAAGCATCGGAGCCTCACATACCTATCGTTATCTCAAAGCCAACTTATCATGGACAGAGGAAGTCATACAATCGCTTTTGTTAATGTTCTCATGCGACAGGCAGAGGCAGTCAATGTTAGACCTGGTAAAACACATCTAGCTCTAGGTGGAATCTGAGGGGAGATGCAGCAACAAGAAAGCAGCACCGACTGAGCATGCTCCTATTCAGGCAGAGACAGAAAGGGAGTGGACGTACTGTAGAAGCTGGCCATTACGTAGTTTTGGCAGCGATCACCAGTAAACTCATTTGGGCACCTGAGAGAAGAAACAAAAAACAATGGTAGAAAAAACAGAGAAAAAGAGAAGAGGTGAATATATGCTAGAAAGAAGCTCCTTCAGTGTCATTTGACTGAATTTGGTGAATTCACGCTCAGGAACTGAATCTTTGTCTTAGTCATGGCTTTCAAACTCTGGCATTTCCCCCAAAGGGTGAAGCATTTGGACAAAATATTGGATGGGTTTTTATGATTAAGTCGTAGGACTTATAGTGACTGCTTTCTTTCAAAGAGAGCCACTTAAAATTAAAGTTGATGTCTTGTTCATCTCAGTTTTCCATTGGCGAGCTTTGGTCAAAAACACTGGAAGGAAAAACACACTTTTTGTTGTTGGTGGTCTGCCCACCATGGGTGCCAGCATCACTGTCTGTCCTGATGGGTCATTCTTTTAAATGTTTGACCTTGGGGGCCCACGCTGAGAGATAGTTAAACACCATGATGTTAAATGGGCTATGCCCTGAGTTGTTAAGCCATAATTAGAACAAAAGGAATCAGTTACAACTGAGCTGTAAAAGCACCAAGTGGTAGTGATTGTTGCTGTAGTTTGGGAAAGAAAACAAATTTCAGATTATTTTAACATACTTTCTTGGTTTTGGACTTTCATGGGCACATTCTCAGTACATCTCGCTCCAGTGAATCCAGGTTGGCACCTAGAGGGCAAAAATGTGATAAGCAATAGAACGCTAAAGATACTGAACTTTCAGACTGGCAATTTTCCTCCTAGGGAATATGGTGATTCCTACAAATGACCTGGTGACTGAATAACATGAAGAAAACATAACAAAGGGAAAGACAACACATCTAGAAAACAATGCCCCCATGAAGACTGCAGGGCACACATCTTTTGTTACTTGCTTCAATTTTCAAAAGATAAATTAACTGACATTTCATGAGAGTGAGGATGAAAAGTTGAATGGGATGGCAAGGACAGGGCAGCTAAGTCATTTTCCTGTTGTCATTTTCTAATTTGCTACTGATACTCATATCGTGTTCAAACACTGGTTTTGGAAAGCGTTTACATGGTTCCAGCTACCTTCTTTTATTATTTAAATGATGCCAAGTCTTTTATTTCATATACACTCAATTCCATACAGTAGTCTCACCTGATCCACAGGGGAACCATTCCAAGACTCCTAGTGGATGCCGGAAGCCACAGATAGTACTGAACCCTATATATATTAATACATATATACATATGCACACACACATACATATATGCACTGTGGTTTTCCCATATGTACACACAACAATAAAATTTAATTTGTATGTTAGACACAGTAAGAGATAAACAACATACTATAATATAATAACAGCTATATTAATGTGGTCTCCTTTTCTTTCTCAGAAGATCTGATTGTGTATAATATTTTCAATCTGTGGTTTACGATGGGAAGCTGAACCTTGGAAAGTGAAGTCATAGATAAGGGGCGACTACTGTATTTATTTTATAGGTATTTTTATGTTATAAGTTAAATCATTAAACTACATTAGAAGTCAGTAATTACAGACCAAAAAAAAACTACATTCCCTGCTTGTTTTTTAAGATCACAAATTAGCTCATATTTTACATGTTGAAATATAGTAGTAGCAGATTTTCATTAGTATAAATTTCATTTCATGTGATTATTTCCAATCCAATAATTTGAAATGCAAATACATTAAAAAATTAAGTAGTTTTTTGTCTATAGTAGTATGTACTATAGATACATTTTTACACTTAAGGTAAAACTATTTTGAGATAGTGAGTTGTACAAAACTTACATGTTATTTACTCACTTAAAATTACTTATCAACATACTAGAATCTTGGTATATTTTTAAGCCATGCAATGGGGCTGTGCTTAAATTCAAGTCCTTTATAGTAACTATGTTTGTAACTGTAACAAAAACATATCAGGTTGGATCCAATATTATACTGCAATATATGAGATATCAAAAGGTTCTATGAAGTAAATATACTTACAGATGTTCAACATCCATGGCCATGCTTACTGTCAAGGGTTCATTGATACCATAACAGCAATGTAAAGTGCCAGTTCATTGTGACTTAGTTTTGATAGCATATACTTCATGATTTGCACACATTTTCTTCTCCAGAGTAGTAAAAATAAACACTATCTGATATTAAAAAGTGCCTAGCACTGTTCATTTTTTACTAATATAAGGATGAATTTTTATTCCCTAGAAACCAAATTCAATATCAAAAATATATCAAAATCAAGTGATTTGGTGCATTTGCTTCTATTTTAGGAAGAATGGATTACAAGATAAAATACTAGCGAATTCTAGATTTTCAAGACCGAGAACTTGAATAAGCTTATACTAGAAGTATGATCATTAAAATGTTAAGAATCTCAACTACAAATATCTTGTGTTGATGCAGATCTTTTGAACTCTTTAAACCACCTTTATACTACATGGTGTACTACATATGAGTACTACATACTTGTGTGTGTGCGTGCATGAACATTTGTACTTGAGAAACCTTTGAACCATTTATAGTAAAAAAAATGCATTATTTTAAGTATAGTGAAATTAATAAATTACTGTTTAATCATGAGTTCCTTAAGAGAAGGAGTGCATTTATTAAGAAATCACCATGTATATATGTCAGTGTTAATATCAAAAGATATAGGGCAAGTAGGTAAAAGCGGTTAAAAATCTCACCCAGTCAATGTTCTAATTGGTATAATGTTAAAATGATGCTTCCTAGGAAACTTGTGTTAAGGGATGGCTGGCAGTTCATTTAGTATAAGATGATGCAGAATATTTGGTATAGTAAAAGATAGAACTACTTAAGGTATGTCAATATTTTTAGGATTACTGGCTATATCTGAACCAGAAATGAGCTTTCCCTAATGTTTATCTTTACTCAGAGATGAACTATCATAGAACAAAACCTTATTTTATTTAAAGATTGGTCCATGAACCAAAAGTACCATCATCTCCTGGAATCTTGTTAGAAATGCAGAATCTCTGGTCTAGGGCCACTAAATAAAAATCTGTGTTGAAACAAGAACCCCAAGAAGAGTCTATGACATTGTTAAAAGATACCAGGAACCCTGATTCCTTGGAAGATGGAGACTATAGTCTTTTAAATATTTCCAATGTAGCCTGTGATCTATATGTGAGCAGCCCATTTGGCTTCTTCTTTTATATAGGTTTTTTTTTTAAAGGTTTATTTATTTATGCATACAGAACTGGGGTACAGGGCAGAGGCAAGGAAGACAGGGAGAGTAAGAGAATGCACCATACACAGTGGGGAGAAGAACAGGCGGATCTACTGAAATTCACTGCTGAGGGGAAGTGGCAGGTCAGGAGAGGTCTGCTGTGCCTTGTGGGTCATCTGGCTAGGGACTGAACTTGGACAGTCTCACAGTACTGAGCTTTATTCCTTTGTGCCACCAGGGAGGACACAATTTGACTTCTTAAGATTCCTTTTCCCTTAATCAAAATGGATTTGACTACGTGATTATAAAATATCTCTTCTACTACTAAGAGTCTGGGAGCCAATGTTCAGCTTAACTCATGGAATAGCTGTGCAAAAACCCTGACATCACTTCTGAATGCATTCTCAATTCGTGAAGGCAGAACTCAAGGACTTTAAAAATGTTCCAGCAGACTAGACTTTAAGACAATCATGGAGGTAAAGCAAATTGGAAATATTTATTCCTAAATAATCCAAGTGCTTAGCAATAGCAATGATGGGTGAATTTTGTGGACATATAGAGTTACTGCCATATCAAATGGAAGGAAGCGGAAACTGAGGTAGATTCTGCATCAGCAAATTGCACATTGCATTGATTGTGTACAGAAAGTACATACAAATGAAAACTCATCTGATCATAAGCTGTGATTATATGCTATGGCATCACCTCTAGAAGAATAAGGAGACTGACTTCTGACATAGTATGTTGGCATTGCATGTTAAGCCTCCAATGGATTATTTTCATGAGAAATTACCTCTGATTTTGAATAATATGCTTTGGCAAGTATCTGAGCAAATTCCAAGAATTTTACTTCTTAGATGAATCTGTTTGAATAATAATCAAGCCCCTACTCTGGTCTTAAATATATACAATTTTTTTTTCACTGATAAATTTTGTTTTCATTTTAGGACTTGCTCTTAATATGGTAAAAACAAGTTTATATTTGTTCTTAATGAAATGAAAATTCATTGCCAGTTTTGTTAGAACTTCTCCCAACTAACCTTCCCTGAATTCTACCTTCCACTATTCCATCTCCCCACTTCTCTGTCCTGACCGAGGCTTCCCTCTTTGTCTCTCATACTGAACCTATTCCTGCTCTTTCACTAGCCTGACCTATGTGTGGTGTGATGATTTGTTTGTGAGGGCAATGACTTTTTTTTTTTTTAATTTTTTTTGTGTCTCAAATGCTCAGCACATTACCTGACATAAAGTGTTTGTTAAACCGAGCCTAGTGTTCAATTATGAATTCTATCAAAAGAGTAACTATCATACCTTCAATGGATTTGCCATGTAGAGGTCAATATTGACTTTTGGCTTTGCTTTTTGACATACTTTGTTCTTTAGACTTTTATTTTTTATGGGTGCTGTGAACTTCCTCACAGACTCCATCTCTTAAATAATAAAATGAAAACATTATGTTTGGAATTTTGAAGACTCCATAGCTCTAATAATAACTCTCTCAAATTTGAATACTGTTACTAATATGCCAGTTGAGTATTTGATAAACAGTACAAACAACTAACCAAGACTTCCACAATTTTGCATAAAAAATGCTCTTAATAATAGCCTTATTCCCTTGTGATTATCTGGATAAAATAGATGTAACTGATCACAAACTGATGTATTTTGAGAATCCATCTAGGTTTTGGTGTATTTTTTATTATTCTAATTGGATAAATTCATTTCCATTTTCAGTGACACTCTAAACACATTCAATGATATTTATAAAACTTAAAGAAATTTCTAATTCTTTAGGGCTGGCTAATATTTTT